TAGAGGTTGTAGCTAATAAAGATAGCTGGACTGAATTGGCATTGTCTCTTGGAGTTCCTTGGGCTAGGCCTGACACCCAGTCTATGACTACACCATTCAATCTCTCTGCATAACAGTGAATATGGCATTGTGAAATGGAAGAATAAATGTATCCTTGAGCTAAGAAGTAATTCTCCCAGACAAGAATGACATAATAAACCACAAAGACAGAAGTATAATATTGTTAAAGAAATATGAATAAGTTTTTATAAATTTCCCCAGACTTGTCATCAGAATTCTGCAAACATACAGGAAGGATCTTCTTGGGTGCTGAGAGCCCCAATATCTCTTTGAGAGAAGAATCACTGGTAAAGCACATGCAAAAGATTTCAATGAAAATCAGGAGATGGGGAAAAGGTGCTCTCTAGTTCATGGATAGTCATTCCTAATTCATCCAGAAAAGATCTATATATTTAGCCCTGTTATTATTGGAGCAATACCATCAAGCTGCTTTGCAGTGTTTCATAGGAAGATGTAGCTAGTGCATTGCCTCCAAGTTCAAATATAGAACAGGGATTCCCAATCTACTTTGCACAAATGGACCTTCTTGGAGTTTTAAAAGAACACCACAGCAGTTGCAGAATTACTGCCTGTTCTCTTCCTTTATCCTTTGAGTAGGTTTGGGTTCAACAGCCCTCCCATCTCAAGTAGGGCGATCAGAATGGTATATATCATCCACTTTCCCTTAAGCTCTTAGAGTGCACAATAGGAAATTAAAATGGTGGTTCCAGAAACCCTCTTGCCTAATGGGGTCAGAACATGGAGTGGAGAGGTTAATAGGAGAGGTCTCAGTAACAGGCTCAGAGATTTCCCATGCTGACAAAGGTTTGGGGCAAAGCCACTGAAAACAGGTGCCTTCAAGCTCAGTTCTGTAGACAACCATGCATTTTTCTCGGTTCTTGGTTTCTTGGTTCATGGAAATGGTTAGTGATTTACCACTGCCTTCTTCTGGGGTGGTTTTCCACTTCCCAGACTAGCTTAGAGGGAGCCAGTTTGGTGTAGTAGTTTAAGGTACCAGGCTAGAAACAAGGAGACTGTGAGTTCTTGTCCTACCGTAGGTGCAAAAGCTGACTGGGTGCTCTCTCTCAGCCCTAGGAAGAAGAAAGCAAGGGCAAACATCTGCCCATCCCATCAGGTCTGGCAAAGAAGGCATGCTGAGGGTCCCATCTGCCAGAGAATTCCATTTGGCAGGTCCCAGGAGATGGGCCATCTCTGCCATGGTGCCCACCTTGTGGAATCTTCTCCCCCCAGAAGTGAGATTAGCTCCATCCCTTTCAACATTCTGCAAGTCCCTCAAGACCTGGCTATGTGATCAGGCCTGGGGCACCCAGGGGACCAGGGAGATTTTGCAGTGGCTCTCTTACTACAGTTAATATAGTTAATACAGAACTCTCCTGTTTTGTGTGTTTTTATCATTATTTTTACTTGTAATTGATCTTATTCTTTTTAATTGTTGTACGCTGCCCAGAGTCACTTTTATGTGAGATGGGCAGCTATATAAATATAGATAGACAGACAGACAGACAGACAGACAGACAGACAGACAGACAGACAGATCACTTCCAAAATCTTGCTAAAAAAGCTGCAGAGACTTGTCCAGGCAGTCGCCAGGAGTCAGCAATGACTTGGAGGCACACACACATACCAGGCCTACAATCCTGGTATTTTCTGGTGGCCAGCCATCCAAGTCTTAACCAGAGCACACCTGATTTAATTTCCAAGCCCAAGGAATCAATTAGATGCTACCACCCCTCCTGCGATGAAGCCCACAGGAGAGCTTGAAAAGAAGGGGCAAAGAATTTGTGCTGCATTATGAAAAGGAGAACAAGAGGCTTGTGAAAGGATTTGAGAGAGGAGTCATACCGTAATAACATTTGTGGTTGCTCAAAATCCCCTTCCAACATTTATGTTTGAGTTCCCTTGAGATAATTACCCCTTAAGACATGATGACAAAGGAATTGGTTGACAACCTATACTATTCAAGTGATGTTTCTCAGTGGGAGAAAAAATGACCCAAGATGGTTCAGGAGGTGCTTTGAGATGACTCATCATTACCCCCATCTCCCCCAATCAGACAGGAAGAGGAAACATGAGGTTGTCTTGGTAAGCGAGAAACTAGCAAGCCTGCAGTTATGCTGTGGGAGCCAGAGAACTGAGTTGGTCTCTATAAGACACGGGTGATCACACCCAAAAATCCACTGGGAAAATAGTATCTGTTGTTGGGGGTGGAATCATACATGATAATCACATCCCCCCAGAGATTAGAGCAAACCCCACCCTACTGAGATTCTGAAAGACTATTAGGACCTGCCTCTTCTGGAGAACCTTTGGGGGCTGAGACGGATTTTGATTTCCTCCTGAGATGATGCCCCAATGGAATATGGTCTTCTGGTTGTATGCTGTCTTTTTGATTGCTAATTTCAGGATCGTTTCAGGCTTTAATCTTAAGTACTGCTTCTGGAGAGTAAGCTGCTCAGAGTCCCTGGGGACTGGAACGACCTTTAAGCCTAAAGTGAGCAAGTAAATAATTTAATAAAAAGAAGAGAAGTGCCCTCGCTCCCAAGAAAGAAAAGCTGGGGAACATTTGCATCTGTACAGTTCTCACCACGCAGAGTGTAGCAACATAGACCAATGAAGGAAGTGATGAATTCCTTAAGGATCCAAATTTATCGTGGGGACAAATCGGTATTTGGCAACACAAAAGTCACTATCCTGAAATTCCCCAGTGAAAATTTTGCCCTAAAATGGAATGTTGATTTCAAAACAGCATCAAAGCAGATACTTTTTTTTTTCCCCAACAGTAGGGCTAATATTGAGCAAATGTAAGCAAACAGTATTTCTTCTGACCTTGCGAGTCGTCGTGAAAATGGGAATGTTCCTGATCTTGCAGCAAGGTGTGCTTTCACAGGCAGACTCCTGAGAATGTGGGAACGCATTTGTTTCCCATCTTCCTGACCCCAGCTTAACTTGTGGGAAAATCTGGCATTGCGCATTTGTTTAGAAATGAGTCTGGCTGATTTCCGAGGTACAATTTCAACTTCCTCTGTGTGATGTCAAGTCCAGCGAGCAGCTGGATTGGCTAAGGGGGAGCTCTGGTATGAAATCGAGCACAGTTTGATCCCGCCCTCCTTCAGAGGCCCACTAAAGCTTCTTAATTGCTTGCTCAACAGCCTTTCAGCTTTTACAGCCAAAGATGGACATAACTTAAGGGACAGACAAAATATCGAGCTAGGCAGATGCACAGAAAAAGTTCTCACAATTGGTTTTAGCCAAAACCGTAATAATGATGAAAACTAGACAACAATAACCACCCTACAAATGGGAAGAATTTAATATAATCTGCGTTTGTAAGTGACTTGAGCTAATTCACACGCTTTGCAAATGCAATATGCAAATTTTGTGCTGAATTTCTCAGCTGAAAATGTTGTGCAAAGGGTGTATATTAGGAACTGTTGCACAGAAGGAAGCATATATTGAGAAAAGGTTATATGGGAAAATTGCATAACAAATAGCAAATGTCAGACTTACCTGGTAGATCAGACAGGAAACACAGCCAGATAAGCTAATTCTACTGTATTGTAAAGCTACATTAACAAAATCTTGCAAGTCTGGAAGTACAACACTTCCCTTGTCTCCTTTACAGCCCGAGAAACTAGGGAGGGTCCCTTCTGAGCCTCTTGTCCTGCCCACTATCCAGCTGTGGGCTTTGCTGTCTCTTATCTGACCACTCCCTTGGCAGCATCTCTTTGGCCTGTCTCTCAAGGTCTTTCCCACGTTCCATTACAGTACTCTAGATTACTTAGCTTGGGTAGAACAGGATGAGTCCAGTTAGGGGAAGACTAGATTTTGGTTGTACTTGTGACACCCTGGCCAAAACTGACTGGTATTGCCCTTACCATTAGAAGGGAATGCTGCTTGGGGCATAAGCCCTATGTGGCTTGGGGCCAGGTGATTTGAAGGATTGCCCTTTCCCAGTTATATCTACCCAACCCATCAGATTGGCGAGGCAGGGTATGTTACAGGTCCTCCCCCCCCCACCATTAAGGAGGTCCATCTAGTGGGATTGAGAAGAAAGGCCTTCTCCATGGTGGCTCCCTCCCTGTGGAACATCATCCCTGTGGAGATAAGACTGGCCCCCACCTTGATACTCTTCCGAAAGGCCCTGAAGACATGGTTTTGCCAGCGGGCCTGAGGATCCCAGGTTGATACAGAGCCCATCAAGTGGTTTGTTTGAATGTATTGTTGTCGCCAGGGGGGTGGGAGTGTAGTGGGTTTTGTATTTGGGGTCTTATTTCTGTAAGCTGCCCAGAGTCACCGTGAGTGAGATGGGTAGCCATATAAATTGCATGAATGAATGAATGAATGAATGAATGAATGAATGAATGAATGTAATTGAGGATAATAACCTAGTCTAAACCTCTAATTTACCAAAAAGCATTATGTGAAACCTTTGAAAGCTATGACAGGCAATGTAGAAGACTATTTATGGGACCATCTGATGATGATCACAATTTAAGAAAAATTGGTGAACAAGAATTAACAAATGAAACAAATAAAAGGGGAAAAACAGATGCTTATATGTGAAACTGAGAGAAAAGTTGATGTAATAGACCTGAATGAAGGTGTCTGATCTTATAGAGTGCATTTGATGAACTATTATTATTATTAATTAAATCTGTATGCTGCCCAACTCCCAATGACTCTGAATGGTTCACAAGTAAAACCATAAAAACAAGGGGGGAAACATAATAATAGATAAAAATAAAAAATGGCAAGGATGACCAAAGGTGGACAGGACTCTCGAGCAAACTCGACTCCATTCTAGCATTGAAGGCGCTACCTATCCGGGTAATGAAACGTCTGCAAGAAAACAACCAAGCTCAGAGAACCCCAAGGACTCCAGGTTAGTCTGTCCCTACAGTATGCACGACAAAGGATGGAATATAAATCTAAAAGCGTGGTTGATTTGTTTATGATGTAAGATTGAGAGAATTGGTGAAAGATGAGGTTCTGAATGTGGGGTAGACCATTTTTTGGTAGTGTCAAGAGTGGATCTTGAGAAAAAATGAGACAGGGAAGGAAAGAAAATAAGTGAAAGAAAAATGAAGAAAAGTAAAATGACTCCAGGCAGGGTACATAGCCTATATGAAAAAGTATTAGAAGATAGATTAACTTCCCAAAAGAATGAATGGAGAATGGATGCAAAGAAAGAGATATTGGAAACTTCTTGGAATAGAGTGAAAATAATATTATAGATAGCTGCCAAAGTATGTGGAGATATGCTGATGAGAAGTATGAGAAAGTATTCTTGGTGGAATGATGAAAAAAAACACATGTAAGATTGATTACCACAAAAAATGAGGATGATAATATGTGTATAGAGAAAAATATTGCTGCAAAGAATGTGGTCAAAAAGAGCAAGACATGGTTAAGATTCAAACAGCAGAGAACTTCAGAGTGATTTTAGTGAAAATAACAAAAAAATTGGGAAGATGGTGAGCGCAGCTAAATGAGGAGCCTCTAGAACAGTGTTTCTTAACCTTGGCAACTTTAAGATGTGTGGACTTCAACTCCCAGAATTCCTCAGCCAGGATGCTGCCTGGGGAATTCTGGGAGTTGAAATCCACACATCTTAAAGTTGCCAAGGTTGAGAGACACTGCTCTAGAAGAATGAATGGAATTAAAAATAAAAGCAGTGAATCTGAATTGAGAGTACAGTATGCTGAAAGGAGTGTTTTAAAGATCTAAGTGGGAATGAAGGTGATACAGTGAAGCGTGGGATTAAAAGGAATGCTAGAAATATTAAGGTCCAAGAAAAAAATCTGGCCTGGATGTCATGAGTGCTTTGAGAATGATGAAAAGTAGTAATGCCACAGATGAAGATGATGTAACTGAAGAAGTGCTAAAACACGGGTTTCCTTAGGAAGTGGTTTTAAGCTGGCAGGGGGTGCACGGGCCAGATATTTGTTCTACAACAGGTCATTGAGAAATGTACAAGCGTGAGAAGAAATTGTACTGTACATTTGTTGATTGAGAAAAAATGTAAAGTAAACAAACTGAGATGAGGGAATGTGTGGCCTGAATATAGAGTTGAAAGCCCCTTTGCTAAATGCAGAAAGAACAGCATATGATGAAAGTGGAGCACGCACGAGAATCAGTGGAATGATTAGCAAATGGTTCAGCATTGAGCAGGAAGTAAGACATGGATGTGTGATGGTCTCTTGCTTGTTGAATGTATTTATGGATAAATATGGTGATGTATTGATTTGTCTGAGGGACGTATAGGGCTACCTGATCGACCCGTGACATGCAACGTTTAGACACACATTGGCTGGGGAGGCTCATTGCACGTGTACTTTTGCAAGCAAATTACGCCGTGTGGTTGACTAAGACCCAGAATAATTTGCAGTGAATTTTAGTAAGCATGTATAATGCAGCGAGGCGTATGGATCTGAGAATTAATATATCAAAGACCAAGGTAGTTGGGCTTGACAGGGAAACACAGGGTAAATGATTGCAAGTTATCTATCAAGAAAAGGAGAGGCATTTGTGTCCCCTGATGGAATGTTTTCTAAAGGGAAACAAGATGGAAAAATGTTAAGACATGCACATGTGGGTGAAAAGGGGGCAGCGTGTGGCCTGTTGTAAGTAATGATTGGCACCGCCCAGCTCCCCTCTCTGCTTTTTGGTAGTCTGGACACTCTGATTCTCTGTGGTTGCATAGTTGAGCTCAGCAGTTCCAAGAAAAAGCTTTTAGGAGAAACTCTGCGCTGCACATCATTCCCCAGGAGAAATAAATACTCGAGTTCCTTAGGGACAAGACAAGTTTGGGAGGGGATGCTGGTGGCGAGGAGGGTGAGCAGATTTTACCAGCAACCCTCTCGGCGAACTTCATCTTCTGCTCAATTTCTTCAGAAGGAAAACAAACCAACACACTCAGGCTGTCTGGCTCGATTTTTCATGCTTCCCTAAAAGCAGCATTGAGCAACAAACTCCACCTTAATTCTAATCAATTGCGCAATCCCCCTTTAAAAAAAATGACGCCTGGCAACCTTTCTTGTCAAGCTTTCATCTCTCCAGTCGGTTTCTAATTCGTTTGGCAAAACGTGGAATGAATGTGGACAAGCAGAGAAAAATGCAATTTTAATGCAAAGAGCAGTGGTGTGCAGAGAAGGGGCAGTGTTTGTAGTCTGCAATCCATCCCTTTTGCACACATATAAGATGTTATCCATACTCACAAGATGTTGCCCATGCTCACAAGATCATGACTCCACAAGTGCCATCTTGCAGATTTTAATTTTTTTTTCCTTTTGATTGTATGGTTATAAATCTTGATACACTGCATTGTTTCAATACAGTGATGTTCATATGATATGATTAAAGATGATTAACATTCTATTATTTTGATAACCAGTGCTTCTCAACCTTTGCAACTTTAAGACGGGTGGACTTCAACTTCCAGAATTCCCCAGCCAGCCATGCTGGCTGGGGAATTCTGGGAGGTG